AACGAAGCAGTCACCAGTAGCCTTGTAAAAATTAAATGTTATGGGCTTCCTGAATTGGAGCACACTATAAAACACAGAGAAGGGAAGAGGATTCGGTGTGTTATTTAACTGGGAGGATTTTACTGCTTGAGCTTTAATAGCTCCCTTCTGCAGAGGAAGGTGCACGGGGCCGTGCGCGAGGAGCCGGCTGATACAACGGGAGGCTGCATTTCACAGCTTTTCTTCTGGCGCTTCCTTCGGGTTCGCGCTTCCATGCACAATCCCTCAACGATAATGAGGGGACCTTGCACGACATAAATTATTTATTAAAGGAGAAAATTAATGGGCTCTTGTCATTGCAAACGTGATTTTTCTTCTACAGACAAAGCGCCCCTCCCTGCGTGGCCAGCAACATGCAAGATGCTTCAACACAAACCCTTTTTAAAAAGAAGATAATCTGTTCTCAACTGACTCAGAGGGGTTTTTTTTGGACAACTCACTGTGACTCAAGCCTTGTCCACACCTCAAACAGCTTTTGGCAATTGAGTTACAGCTTTGGTGATATGCTGGGAAGCCCTGTAGCATAAATACAGCTCCCCAGCAAAGCTCTGGTGCGGTTGGAGCTGAAATTGCTTCTCCAAATGGGGAAACTTTTTTTTTTTTTTTTTTTTGCTAGCATGACTGTCTCTACACTGCAGTTGTGGTAGGGGGGTCCCAAACTCCTAACTGATGAAGCAATGCCCATAAAACTTTCCAGTGCAGATAAGGCCTCAGCCTGAGAAAGTCAGCGGCCCACTTCCACTTCTGCATCTTCTTACCTTAGCAAAACACCTGCCTCTTGCCCTTGGTGGGGCCAGATGGGCTGAAAATCAGAATCAGAGCTTCATTTTAGTGATGTTCCTTCAGTGCTGTTGTAAGAATTCAGAAGAAAGGAGAGGATGTGCAGGGCGTATTTATAAATCTCAACCCAGAACAGTTTTGCAGGTCAGAGTCAGCGGGACAGGCCAGCCATATGCTGCATTTGCCGCTTGTTCTCAAAGCCAGAATCACATGCCATTTCCCCTCTCAGACACCATGTTTCATGAGAAGTCAGCATCCACCCTCACACACCACTCGCTTTAGTGAGACGCTGAGTGCCAGCATTACCTTTGCTCGCTGGTCAAACCAAATCAGATGGGAATATGCACCTCAAAGACCGTGTAAAAGACGTGGCCTTCAGAAGTCAAATCGCTAAAGGCAAGCAGATGATTTCTGCTCTGCAGAAGAGTGTTTGTACAGGTGCCAACACAACACAGGCCAAATTCATGCAGAGGAACTCAACTCAAGTCAATGATATTACATGCTGGATGACTCTGGGGCCTCTGCAACTCGACTGAAATGGTAAATGTGCTCTCTCTCTACTAGCTAAATGCTACTTTCTTCAACTGGATGCTAGTCAGGACCAGGAACACATTACTCAAAGCTCAGGGAAGATCCGCGCTTTAACCTTTATGCAGAACATTCTTGGGCAAACTCTTTAAACTAATGAAACATTAAATCATGCGCTGCAGGATATATTCTAGATTAGGCATCACCTCCTGAAGTCGAGCTGACATGTAACTAAGGGTAAAATTGGGGCTTTTGTATTAAAATCCATTAGAGATACATGACCCCCCCAGCAAGAAAACTAGCTCTTTGTGTATGATACAAAGCAAGCACATCAGCATGGCATGGGAGCAGCCCCAGCCACAAATAAAGGGGTGCTGCCTCGAAGGATCCCACGCCAGGATCCACACCATGTTGTTCAGCTTCACCTCGTCGGCCATCTGACAGCAGGACCTAGAGACATGATCTGAAATTAGGGAAAGGGTACATAAAAAACCCTTCTCCATTAGATTTATCGCGTCATATGCTGCGAGTCTCTTTTCATAAAGCATCACCTAGCAGTAAAATGAGAAACACCACAACACAGTTCCCCCTTCTACAACTCTCGGGTGGGAAAGCTGGCTACTTGTTTTACAACCCAAAGGATCCCAAGCTAAACATTCAGCTCCTCTCTCTTCTGGGATGAGATCCTGCATAACGAGACCAGTATGTTTTACACTCCAGTTTTAAGATGGTCTCTCCAGCTATGAAGTGCTACTGAGCACCAACTAGAGATCATCTCCCTGTATACCTGCAGACTCAGGCTTTCACTTGCCCTGGGTACCACACTTCATGTGCTCCGCTCCTTCTCCACCCCTAGAGTCCTTGAGTGTTTCCTCTAATGTGCACTGCCCACATCAGACAGGGGCACGGTGAAGTGACTGGCCACCCCAGGCCTGAATTCTGGGGCTGTATTCAGGGCTCTCCCAAACACCCTACTACAGGGCTTTCATCTCAGATTTGGAAAACTGGCCCTAAATTGGAGCCAGGAAATCTCCTGATCAGAATCTGTTTGCAAACCATGCAACTGCGCTGCCCCTGAAACTGGCTGGCTGCTCTCAATGTCACCGCCTTGCTGGCCACCAAAAACCAGACAAAAGCTTGTCGACGTTTCCTCTTCTGACGGCTGTTGGCAGAGTGCCAGGGACTCGGTTCCCCAAAAGCTGGCTGCTTTATCCATACATCACCCCCAGCATATCCCTCTGATCCTGGGACCCTGCAACTCACACCACTCTCACCGTTTTCCCTGGGCTGCATGTTTCCCTCCACACTGTTTTCCATCGTTCTGCTCCATATCCCCTCCCTGTTCTGGCTTACCCCCGTGCCAAGGGCTATTAATACTCTTGAGATCCCTACTTCTCCTTCCACCCAGTCCATGCTGTTTTCTACCACCACTCTCACTCTCTCCCTTAAAAAATGCACTTTTCAGAGCCCAGATTACACATCTCGTGTGCTGCAAGCGACATCGCTGTTTCCAACAGGGCGGTGCGGCAGCGGGGGACAGTAAGAGACTCCTTGACCTGCATCGCTCCCATTGTTTCCTGTGAATCGAGCTTTTCTGGCTTTCTGATTTGTATCAAAATCAACAGGGTGGTTCTCCAATGCTCCACGACATGCTGGCGCTGATCGGTTTGCAGAGACGTGCCGCCAATCTGGCTGTTAGAACTTGCTTCACCCTGCCTGCTAGGTGATGCTCTGAACCAGATGAGCTGAAAGAAGCATCATGGGGAGGGAAAAGCCCCACCACCTCTGAACACCCTGCTTCCTGAAGCAGCCCAATTTGTTTTGGCTGCCTCCCCTGGCCCCAGCCTGTTGCATGCTATGATCATGGAGCAGGGACCCTCAGCTTCGGTGGCTGAAGCGTACAGCTCAGTTGTGTGTTGCTTGCCTGTTTCAGGGGTACAGATTGTAGCCATGCCGCTCTAAGGACACAGGCAGACCAGGTTCTTTGGGTAAATGTGATCTCTCTTCTTAGACCAACTCAAATAGCTGGAAAAATTCTTTGCAAACTTTTGGGTACAAATACCATTTGTCAGGTGGAGGAAGCATGAGCCTGATGAAGGGAGTTTGTAATCAAAAGCTTGCAAAGAAGAATTTTTCCAGCTATTTGTGTTGGTCTAATAAAAGATATCAGATTTACCCAAAGAGCCTTGCTTGCCCCCTCCATCGCATTTATGTGGCTGCATTACCCGTATCACGTTATCCTAAAGCACCACCTAGTGGCTCTGTGGATTACACAGTTGAGATCAGATTTCCATAGAACACGCATCTAATAAATCGGCAGTTACATTAAAATTACTTTATTACTAAAATAACTTTACATTTAGTAAAGATATCGACTAACCTGCAGAGACCATGCTTCGGGTCCTCCTAGAGAAGGAAGTGCATAGTTAGGTTAGTGAAGGGAAGCAGCTAAGCAACTAAAGTTTTTCCCAGCAACTGTTGAGCAGACAGACATTTTCCGCATCGTTCTTGTCCAAGTTCTTTCATTCCTTTTAGTTCAGGCTGCACTTGAAAATTGGGATCCCTGCACAATTCGGCAGCTACATGACATCTTTAGAGAACAGGCTTAAAGAAATCCCACATGCATAGTTTCCAATAAAACTGAGCCAGGAACAATCTTTTGGCTACAGTTACGTTTTCATTTCCTAATTGAAAATCTTTCGGACAGAAGACGCCATCGGGACGTTCAGGGTCATTCAAGGACACTCCACTGCCCCGCTGCGAAGACTCGGTTCTCTTCTCACTTACTCGCGTGTGCCGTGGTGGTCAGTCCTCCAAAGCTAATAGCATTTTAACAGTATAAGTCTGAAGAGGTGATCGGGTCCAGCAGATCTCCAGCCTGTGCTGCTGCTCCCACTTGCACACAAAAATGAGGAGACAGCCTGATAAATACATGTGGGTCTCTCCATACCCTGTACTCTGTGAACTTGTGAAACAGATATTATAAAACACATTCAGCTCCCTATACACATTGCAACAAATTTACCAGCCTCTTCCGTATTTATATCGGCTGCAAGGTTCGTGTAAAAAACTAATACCAGCTGGTTGCCTCTGTGCATTTGTATTCACTCAAAAAACAACTCGAATCCACCGTTTTGTTGGAGATGTTGAACGCAACACTTCGTTCTTGGGCTCTTGCCCTTTAGATTAACAAGGTTAAAACACACATTCCCCCAGTGAAGCATACAACTTTGTCAGACTGAAGATCGTAGTAAAAACTAGACCTTGATACAGTATTAAACTAAATTTTACATATAAAAATAATTGTACAGAGGGATATTTGCAGCAGAATACAGTCTTTAAACATCCAAAAGAATATACAAAACTATTTAAAAGTAGGCTGCTGTACTTTACTGCATAGTCTGCTTAAATACATCCAAGACAGGGGAGAAAAAAGACAGCTTGTTGGCATAACTGTGGAGTTGAGGGAAGAAATCACAGAAACACTTGTTTAAAAAAAAAAAAAAAGATGACAAAAACCTAAAACCTGAAAACTGTAACAAAAAAAAAAAACCCAAAAAACCCTTGTTTAAAAAAAAAAAAAAAGATGACAAAAACCTAAAACCTGAAAACTGTAACAAAAAAAAAACAACCCAAAAAACACACCAACAAAATGAAAATGTACTAAAATTTAATTATTCATAAAAGCTGTAATTTAATCTGTGACATTAAAACACAAGAAGCAATATTAGAGTTGGTTTAGTATATTATATATTTTTGCTTTGAAAGCCATAGAAATCAGTTATCCCAGTTTTTTTTCCTATAAAAGACCCATTTTTCCAAAGCATTATGCACAAACATTTTAATTAGAATATTATGGCAGAATGAAAATTATGATATTCCATAACTTTTAAATATAAAATGAAGTCAAATGACTCAAAAAGTTATTTGCTGCAGTGAGTTCAAAGGGAAATTTCATATCATATATATCTATATAGTTTATAGATATAAAGTATAATGGTTGAACATTTTTAGTGCTTGATGGGGAAGAATTATGATAAAAAGATCAATATGAAATTGTAATTATAGTAGCAATATCTAACATCTGAAATGCATCCATGCTCTTTTGTATAATCATACACTAGAGTCAATTATATTTATCTTCACATCTGTTAACTGCTATTGCAAGGAGAAATACTATTGTCTTAATTTTCCAAGAGATATACACAGAGCAATTTCTTTTTCCAGGGACCTTGTGCAAACCATGATAGGATCTAAATTCTTCACATAATATATAAAAACAAGAGAAGCCTCTTCAGATATGTCGTTAATTTATGTCATTTTTTTTGAAGTCTGGAATGCTGGCACTTTCCAATTGGGCAACAGTTCTTCATTCCTGCAATCTAGAATATGTAAAAAAAAAAAAAAAAAAAAAAAATGGAGAAAAGGGGGAGGGGAGGGGAAAGAGTTAAAACTTAAAAAAAAGTACTGCAGAGATGAAAGATGTTAAATAAAAGGTTTGAATATTTTTCCTTATTATTAGCCATAAAAAGGGAGAGCAGAACAAGCACAGTGCTTTGCCAAAGAAGGGCTATTTCACTTCACTGCACTGATTTACATGTATATTTATATATATCCAGCTCAAACTTATGCTGGAAATCCATAACACAGCACCACAGCAGCTTGGCGCATATGTTGCATATACAACGACCACATCCTGCTAAAAAACATCCTTTGTGTGTAATGTGTTAAGTTACCTCCTGGTGGCTTAGGCTGCAACAAGCCAATTATTTAAACCACAATAAGAGGAAACTTAGGGCGGAAGCACAATGGAAAATCTGATACTCTGAGCACCTCCATCAGACTGAGGGGCAATGTTAGTACACTAACTAGTAGCGAATAAAATACCTTGCCAGCAAAACTATATGTGCACTTTCTCACCAGTAAGTGGCAATATTATCTGCATGTGGCGTGCAGATACTCAGCCTCTGCTAAAGCAGCAAGTGCAACACATCTGTTATGCTACTAAACATATCAGCTCCATCTTATCGTTGCATTTGTTCCAGTGAAAATAAGCTGGCTGAAGTGAGGCTGCTGTTACGCCCTGGCAGCCAAAAATCTAAGCTGGACAGATATGTTGACAGACCAGGAGATGGCACCCCAGCTAAACGTCAGCAAGAAACCCGAGTTCAAGCAGGCCCGAGGTGCAGGAGGAAGGCAAAGGGGCGGGAAATGCTCTTCCTTTCTTTTTTTAAGCCTTCTTCCCCAACAGAGCCTAGCGCACGTGAACCTCACATGAAAATAACTGGCCAAAACATCTCAAAGCCCCACAATAAGAGAAGCCAACAGGTCAGTCAGGAGGCTGCTCTCAGACCAAGTAGCTTGGGACCTGTATCAAAAACAGATGCTTTGACACTGTTTGACACTGCAGCAAGGCAGAGGAGAAAGCAAGGCTGCCTTCGAAATCTTTTTGGCCCCAAGCCGCATGGCTGTCGAGGGACAAACAGCAGAGGCACCTCTCCTCCTGGAAAGCCCTACCCTTCCACTGGCAGGACTGCAAAATGTGCATCATTTCACAGATCACAAAAAAGCAAGATCCACTAACTGCGAGGCTGTTTGGGACTGACAGGGCCAAAGGAGTGTATGTTGATGTGAGCAGGGGACACGGGCAAGGTGATATCCTCTATCCAAAACCTGAAGCTTGAGGAAGCGCTTCTAAGAGTGCTTTACAGCAGCTCTCAGCTCCCTGACTGCCATGCCAAGGTACACAGGAAGGATATTTATAGTGCATATCCAGCCTCGGGATTTTTTTGGTGGGCTGCTTTTCATTTCTTTGCCAATGAAACCCATGTCCTGCCCACACCGATTTGCAATTGTCCTCACATCTTGTAGCAGCTGCAGCAACACTAGGGGCATGGCAGGCCCCGGGATTTCAGAGTAAAAGAGGGGCCAAAGCAAGGGCTCTGGGTTTTCGGCAGTCAGGTGCTCACCTCTTACCTGGCTCAGAGCTGCTGCGTAGTGGGGATCTAAAGCAGCAGACATGTTTTCTTTTTAGGCTTCTTCTTTTCCACTGGTGTTTTTCTGTTTATCTGTCTGACCAGGTCATAAAAGATCTGAAAGAGAAGAGGGCATTTAGCACACCGCAAGGCAAAGGCATGACACCTGCAATACGCATGGGTCAAACCCAGCTGCTTGGCAAGCTGGCACCTCTCTCTGGTGGCTCCAAACATCTGCTTCCAGAATCAAACCTTGCAAGCACTTAAACACATTATGGAGCAGCACGTGGAGTGAGCTCAGGACAGTTTGCATGCACCAAAGGTAGCTTAGTTCACCTCTGCCTGTCTCAGGCAAGGACAAGCCCCCCATGTCCATGTCATAGCAGTGAAGAGCTGCTATTATTTAAAGCAGGATGCAAATGGCAAGCTGATTGAATTGGTTCAGCTCAGTACAGGGGCATCCTGACTATAATCCCTTTGTTTTGGACCTGAAGGTAGCAAAAGCCCCTGCATTGGCCTGACGCCCCTGAGAATCACTTTGGCATTTGCCTCTCAGGCTAATCTAGTTTGGCTTCAGGGCAGCTTTATTCCAGACACCCCTGCCGAAGTAGGCCCAGCACAGTGAGACACTTAGCCCTCAATATATGATGCTTGTCTTTAAAGTAGTCTCTGTTGGTCTGTCCTTCAGGAGGGCCACGTTCTACGCTGCAATTCTGCTGCACTCATTGGGACAACTGGAGATGCACCACATTGCCTCCTGTACTGCAAACCCTCTGAAGACCGCAGGCTTGACTGACACAAGTAGCAAAACACAGCAACATATCTGCCCAGAGCCCACACTCATCCAGGAGATGCCACTTTTGGTGTCTAAAGCTGCACAGGTTTCTCTCTTGAATGCCTTTGCTGCAACTGCCTTTTCCTGCCGGGAGACTTGGATTATTCATGGCAAAACGAGCTTTGTGGGGACGCTGCCGCCTACGTCACGCTATCAAAGAGTTCCGCATCCCCTTGGAAAAACCCACCCAGCTCATTGTGTGCGTCTTCCCTTCCCCGGTGTGGCTGATGGCTCACAAATTCCTGCCGATCCCAAGGAGCTTTAAGGAAAAAAAAAAATAGCTGTGTATATAAACAGCAACATCTGGAAATCGGATACTGTCCTGATGTTATCTCCTCTAAAACACTGAAACAAAGTGAAAATGGTTTGAATGTGACCATAGAGGCAGCACCGTGTTCAAGTTTTAAAATAAAATAGTTTGAAGGTCTTTTAAGTTTCTCTCGCTCCCTCCCTACTGGGCTTGTTCCACAGCTTGACACCGTCAGCTTCAGGCAAAGACAGCAGCTTGTGCTCCACTAAGGTCAAGCCACCAGCTTTTTCCTAGCAGCTAGACATGGTTCGGCATTTAAAGAATACGGGCCAGATAGGAAAACAGGAAGTTGCTGCAGGGAAAAGAGCAGCAACCTGAAAGGTGTTTTCTCTGCTGGTGAGCAGTATTTAGTTTTTACTAACCAGGAGCTAGGTGTCTTTTGTAAGTGATTCTGGATATCCACTGCCAGAATTTCTGAAAGTGGAGAGCATGCAACCCTTACAGCATCCAGGTAAGCAGGCAAAAATGTAAGCAACTCCCAAATCACTAATCGCTTGGCCAAATCTTTAGTATGAGCTGTGTAAGGGTGAAAATTTAACAAAGGGGCTGCACAGACAGTCACCATACAAGAGTGAGACTCTCTAAAAACTGTAAGTCAGAGAAATGTGATAAGAAAGAAACTGCTACTAAGTGCAGCAGCTGCTGTTCCAAGAACAACACTAAAAGTTTACAGTATCTGTGATAGGTTTTATAAGTTTCGTTTTTAGATAATGAAAAGTCCAACAATAGCCAGAAAAATCAAGGATCCAACGTTTCCTCTGTTTAAGGATTTCTTAAAACAAGCAAACAACACAACAGGCTGCTTTAGAAATGTGGTGTTCCTCTGCTTTGATTTCCCTGGCTTTTTTTTTGTCTATTGTAACCAGATTACAGGGAAAAAAAAAGCATCGTGTTCAGTGCTGTCCTGTCAGAGACAGATACGAGGACAGGCACCAAGCAAACGGGCATAATGGAAGTTTTTAAAAGCATCCTGGTAGCTACAGGCCAAGGAAATCCTAAAGTACTCTAGTAGCGGCCCATATGCAAATGCATATGGCAGTGACACAATCTTCGCTAACCAGAGGCCCAGAAACTTGGCTGGGCTGCAGTGAGAAAACTCAGCATGCAAACTGGTTCATAATTAATAAAAAAGGCCAAAAATTATGATTGTAGTAATTAAATGAATGCCCACAATACTCATGTTCCCTGTATGACCATGCAGCACAGGGCCTGGAAATATGAATCACTCATTAGGGCTGATTCTATTGCAACTCGTGAGTGACTGAGACAAGCAGTCACAAGACAATTAAACATATCCATTGGCTACTAGTGAATCTCTGCCTGCCTGCACAGTTCCTGGGGTTTCCTGAGGTGTTTATGGCTAAAGAGCATTTTGCTTTCAACGTGTAGTCTGTGAAGATCTTATGCATTTTCCATAAAACGCATGATTTACTGAGTGCTCTGCACAGGACAAGGGAACGCGCTGTGAAACGTACACTCTGGTTTCACCAATTTTCACCTCATCGCCCACGCTGTGCACGTGTGAATTATAGGACGCTGGATGACACGGACCTGTGGGCTGACCCAGCGTGGCATTTCTTAAGTTCTTGTATCCTAGTAAAGATCACACCATGCCGAGGCCCGGAAGCTTCACTCCAATCTGAGTTTTCATACAGGTTTAAAATTAACATGGAGTTTCCTTTCCAGACTGAGTACACTTCGCTAAGCTACCTGGACTGAGGCAGACTCTGGTAGATATTTTATCTTGGCTGAACTTAAGGACCACTGGAGCTGGTGCAGCTTAGAGGACCCTTCCCTTTCTAGTTTGACAGCTTCAGTGCTGGCACTTCGCACAAGCTGCCAATTCACTTCTGGGCCCAGTCCAAGATCCTGTTGCTTTGCCTTATCTTCCAAGTCCCTAAAGGGGCTCAGCTATCTCTTGGCACCTCTGGTAGTCAGAGTTTTCTGTGAGGCTATGGGATTTAGTCGTGCTGGAGGCTGGGCAAAACCAGAGGGTCCAAAGCTGCTTATCTGAGAAGGCAGGGCTAGGCACACCTATTTGCAAAGGGATTTCTCAATTTAACTTGTCAAAAGCCTACCTGGACAACACACCCCTGCTGGGACTTGGCCACAGGCAAACAGTGGCTTAAGGGAGGAAAAACCTCTTGCTTTTAGAGGAATGGAGGTGTCAGCTGTGTAGGGCACCCAGATGCTGCAGTACCTGAGAAAGCAAATGACTGAGCCCATATGCTAAATATTACTAGTGATGGGGAAAGAGAAGACGTAACCATTCAGAAGACTGCTATCTTAACAAACAACATCTCTTTAGGAAAAAAAAAACCAAACTTGATTCCAATTGAAATTTCCTCAGTAGAGAGGGCTTCCTGGAGGTCTTCTGCTGTCTATACTTTGCCCGATAAGCTAAGCACTCTGCATCAGGCACTTAGCCCACGAAGGCTCACTACCTTGCTAGTTAAGGGATGGAGCAGAGGAGACTTCTTTGCAAACAGCAGTTTCAGGACCTGAAGGGACTGGCAGTGTGTCTTACACCTTTGCAGCCTGGGGCTCCAAAACGCACCAGAAATCTAGTGGACGAAGAGGTATCAAATCGTCTTCCTACCACATTAAACTGGTACTTACACTGGCCTGGAAAAGGCCACGCATACACGGACAGAAACAATCCATTACTGCCTGGCAGCGGACCAGCGGGTAGTTACCTCGTTAACGTTGATTTTAGATTTTGCAGACGATTCTAGAAAGGCACAGTTACACCACTGTCTTGCTAAGTTTTGACCCTGTTCTTTGCCGACTACACGTTCATCTTCCAGGTCACATTTATTGCCAACCAGAATCATTGGAACCTGGGGAGATGACAAAAAAAAAAGTGAGCGTGAGAAATATATAAACCAACAGTTTAAACTCTCTGCCCACCTCCCAAGTGTTCTTCTCCCCTCTTTCTTTGTTTAACAGAAAACAGGCTCAAGTAAAATAAAAAAAGGATATACATACATACAAATGAACTTATGCATGAATGTACACAAATACATGCATACCCATGCCTGCGTGTATACGTACATATGTAAAACCCATACACACAGAGCTGCAACTGAACTAACACAGTAGGTTATATTTTGAGGTCGCAAAAAAGAGAGAGGAGAAAAAAATGAAAAAAACCATGCGTGCACGCCCAAAGCTCAATGATAATTATTTGTGGTGCGGATGACAAACAGCGACGTTTCCATTTGAGGAGGTTAAATTAGGCTACTTGTATTTTCTGGGGTCTACACTTAAAACTCCACAAGTCAAAAAAAATTACTCCGTGGCCTTTCAACGCCTTGGTGCGAGGTCAGCCAGCCTGCCAACTGAGCCTATTTGAGACAGCAGTGTGTGCAGCATGTCGTGAGGCACACGTGGGATGTCAACCCTCCTGACCCGCTCTGTCCTGTGTAGCTGCTGTCAAACCATAGGAAATAAATGCGCCACCCTTTGGAAAGCCCTGCTCTGGATATACGGGATGGGAGGAAGTAGTTTTAGCCACCTAGAAGGATCACGCTGCCATGGGAGCTGCCTGTCCACACTGGAAAGGCAGGACTGCGTCGTCTCACAAGCATGTGGCCTCACATATACAAGACAGAACGAATTCGGCATGGGCAGACGCAAGCAATCGCCGACTGGCATTTTCTACGTTGAAGTAAATGAATTGTCACTACTCGTCACGTAACAGAGGCACCAGGGTCTTGATTAGCAGGACCGCTCAACATGCTGCTTATTCCTGTAATTGCAACGCTGCCAATAGATCATTTTGTATTAACGTCAAAAACTGTGCTTACTGTGCTGAGCCTTATAGGAAGCCTGCAGCGGCCAAGCGCAGGCTCACTGCTCTGCTAGAGAGGGTCAGTGAATGGAGACTGCTGCCCACATAGGAGATGCAGGCAAATCATCTGTTAAATAGCCTACTGAAGGATTAACCACTCCTCCTCATAAAGCTGCCCGCTGTCCAAGGTGCACATACGGAGCTACCTTAGGAGGGACTTAGTGCCTACAGGAAATCTGGCCTTCTGCTACATTACATAAGGAGAGATAGGAAAAACACAGTACCCTCAGTAAAGTGGCATTGGTTACTTTAATTACTTGCAAATAAATCAGGAATATCAGGCTGAGAAGACCAGTCTTTAAGCATATCCAAATAACTGGAAAATTTCTCCTTCAATCAAGCCAGGAGAAACGATGGCAGAAACAAAGAGGTCTCCAATAGAAAGAGAGACTAAACTGGCCACAATTTTTATATTTGTAAGCTCTCTGGGCCTGGGCAATATTTATCTCCTATACTGTACTGAGCCAAGCAAGCTGTCAGCATGCAATAAGGTATAACATTTTTCAACTCAAGTAATAGCACTATAAACTCTAAGGAGTATAAGCATCGAGCCACTCCAGGAAGTAACTGACTGTGTTATTAAAAAAAAAAAAATACCCAAACCTCTCAGGATTATAAATTCAGCCAGGAACGTCTCTTTCATTAAAAGCTTTCTAATCAACATCTTTGAGATGGAAACAACATAAGGTATTCCCTGGGGTTTTTCCTGTTTCTCCTCAACATTAAGGTCTTCAGCAGGCCAGGAGCTCCCCAGAAGAGGCGACCTTGAAAGTGGCAGGGAGAAAGCCCCAAGACGCTGGCCTGACTTTTTATTTAAAATGTGTAAAAATGCTAAAAGAAAGTGATGCTCACTATGACACGATGTACCTCTGTTCTACATCTCCTATAAGATTCCTTCTACATCTTCATGAAAAGCTGCAGCAGAACGTACTTCAGATCTGGCTGTTACCTATTCAGTCAAAATCCTCAAAGAACCAGAGATTTCTTCCCTTTACTCTGAGCTGAGCTGAGATTTGTGCGCGACATGCAAAATTTAAAAGCAGGCTTTAAAGAATTGTGCGCAATACAAGCCTTAACAGTATTAATACTTAAAGCCTGCTTTTAAATTTTGCGTACCACATGCCTTCCCAACGCATGAAACATCTCTGGTTCCCTGAGCATTTTGAAGTGAACAGGTAAGAGCTACCTCTGTGGTGTTTTCCTTCCACAAAGCACGCACTACTGGTTTCCCTTGAGCTATGTAAAAGCAGAGACAAAGTTATTCAACTGCTTACAGTGAGTATGTACACCGTTCCTTTTCCTGGGGTATTTACATTTTTTGCACACAAAACCTGCATTTTCCAGATGGAAAATAAAGTTACTGTCCACTTCCTGAAACCAGTCGGACAACACAGGAACATCTGCCAACTATTTTAACTCTGCATTTTGCACTAAATTGGTCTCAAAGCCAAAGTTCACTACATTTGAGACTCATTTTCATTTGAAGCACAAAACAATACAGATTCAACTTTTTTGCGAACAAAGTTTTGCTTTCTGCACCAAAAACCTGCAAGTCAAAGACAAGAGACAAAACCTCCATTTCAGATCAAAGCCTTGCACCCTACACAATGTAGGTACATATTCAAAATGGCATGAGCGTCATCTTTAATGTTGTGTTTCCAAAAGGAACGTTACTTTTCGCCCCCAGACACGGAAACATGAATTTCAACCAAGCAACTAAGATGAATAAATCAATTTTACTGGGTTTTTGTTGTAGCCATGTTGGTCTAAGGACAGAGGCAGGCAAGGTCCTTTGAGTAGATGTGATATCTTTTATTAGACCAACCGTGTAGTTGGGAGAAAGTTCCAGCCACTCAGTTGGTCTAATAATAAAAGATATCGTATCTACTCAAAGGCCCTTGCCTGCCTAAATCAATTTTAGGTACTCAGACCAATATTAAAGCAATGATTTCCACTGTTAGGTTAACTCAACCAGAATACAGATGCCACTGCTAGCGGTGTAGCTACTTGAACAGCTCAGTACTTTGACCTAAATGCTAATAAAAGCATCATGTTACCAGGGTTTTATGCAAGCATAATCCCCACCTAAATGAAGATTAGTTTTACTTAAATAAAAGTTTAGCCAGTTAAACCAAAGAGGGTATCAGAGCCATTTGAAAACAAGGTAGCCAAAGATAAGGAACAATGACATTTTAAAGGCAGGAACAAAAGTTGAGACTCCCTCAATTTGTTCAGCACCAAGGGACCGTTTATCCTTCTCCAGCACAGCTTACTATGTTGTTCAAGCTGCTCTTTTCTAAAAGGCTATTTACATACAATGCCTAATCGTGACCCAGGCTCTACTTACTGATCCTTAGCACTGCACTAACTGGATAGAGTGTAAGATGATAAGGAAACATGAATGACAGGCTACCTCTAGTGTCCCAGGTCTCTGACAAGAGACTGATACAAACTGAAGGCAATCAGCTTCAAAGAGAGCAGCTACTTTTAAACCGTCAGTGGGAGTATGCAAACTTTTTCACACCCCTCTGGGCAGCTCTTTCAATAGGTTACTAACACTGTTAGTCCTAAGATTTTAAATTTCAACTTCTTCCCATCTAACATTCAACAAATGAAAAAGTCACATAAATCTGAATATTTCAGCCCAGCTGCTCCACAACCCACCTGCAACTTCAGCCACAAGTTTTAAGAAATATACAGTGAAAAAAATCCACCATGGAATGGAAATGGTTCAGTGGAAAGGTAGCAAAGCTTTGAAACAAACACTTAAGAGGGTTCAGAGACATGGCCTTTACATTGTGGCAAATCATTTATTTCTATTACATGAAAACCCGAACAAGGCATCACACTCAATGCAGGTTGTGTCCTAAAACTATGATTTTATTAAAAACTGCTACGAAGCCGAATAAGAATGGCAATCTATCACTAGCCAAGACTTTCAAAAGAATAAGCTGCTTGCAAACACAGGAATAGACTTGATAACCCCTTGTAAGAAACCCCTTCCAAACCTACCATATATTCCTAAAGAAAATTCTTTAATACACACAACTGCTAGATTTCCTGGGCATTGCAAGCGTTTTTGCAAACGGTGATTTTTGCAACTGCATAGTGCAGTCAACAAATACACTGCCCCACATGTCAAACTTCAGGCATTATAAGCACCCTATGAAGTGTGCCCCTGCCACATGTAGGCACATTCAGGAAGAACAAGGACATTCTGAGTTTGAAACCAGAATTTCCATCCCTGGGTGCCTACAATTAGGTCACCCATTGGCAAACACGTGAGAGTGGCAGGCTTTTTTGGGACCGCTGAACACCCAACATCACTGTAGTCAAAAAGAACTACCAGCCCTACATCTCTTTTAAATCAGGAGGCATATCTAGGTACTCAGACCTAGACTAGCAGCCTCTATTTCCACAAGGGAATACCTAAAATTCAGGCCTGAAGTAATTTTCTTCTACCCTGGAAGTACTGCCATGTACATGCCAGTACATACAAAACCTAACAGCAGTGGACCATTTAAAAGAGTACAGTGTACATGAAACAGCCCAAGACAAACTAAGGTATTCCACCTTGGCAACAAACATTACAAGATCAACCATGAGGATATATATTCCATATTTTGTAAAAAGGAGCGAGGGAAAACTGTCAGCCAAGCTGTAACAACATGCTGTGCCAATGACAATAGTTTTATAAATTTCAAAAACTCAGAAACGCAGGAAACTGTCACTGTTTGAGAAGGAAGAACAGTGGAAGCTGTAGAAATAGGAGCAACTGAACTTCAAAAAGGCTGAAGCAGCGTTTATGAAAAGCCCTGTGGACTGAAATGCTCTATTCACACCGCAGACAAGAGAACAAGGATTTGCCTTGGAACAGACACTGAGATACAAAGGGTTTCACAGCTGTGGGATACACACTGGCCAGGAATTAGAAGCAGTTGTGCATTTGATAGCCAATGTAAAAGTAAATTCTTGGTGGGCAGGTACCTCCAGCAAACACCAGCCTGCCTCAAGCCCTTCTGAGTAGTCTCAGTCCCACAGACCAAAAGCCCAGGGTATCTGAACCATCAGACCTCAGAGGGCAATTGCAGTAGTAACTATACTTAACACAGTATTATGTACGAATTTCCACCTTATAAAGTTAGAGAAAAATACAGTAAAAATGAGCTTAATTTTTAATAGGAATTTTACTTTCAATATAATCATCTCTCAAGGGAAGTAAATGAGGATGTTTGAAACGGACACCATTAAAAACCAAACAGACAGATTTTCCAGAAAGTATGTAACAGTTCCCACCGTTCTCAGGAAAGAGCTATGAACTATAAAGCCCACTGCTAGGGAAGTGTCCTTCAGCCAGCAACTTAGTTCAAAAACAGATGACTGGTTATTTAGTTACAGAAAAAATTTCTGACAAAGCAAGAGCATTTTACTTACATCTTCAGTGTCCTTAACCCGTAAAATCTGTTCCCTCAGGTCCTGTAAGTCATTAAATGTGGACTGTGCGGTAATAGAATATACTAGTGCAAACCCTTGACCATTCTTCATATAGAGATCCCTCATGGCTGTAAATTGCTCCTGTAATCAAACATTTTAAAAAGGTAATTAGCTATTTAATGCAGCTAATGAGCATTTAGAAAGGAATACTTTTATTGTAACAAGATAAGATTGTAGCAGCTAATCTAAATGCACATTTCTACCCCTTGCAGAAATCCAAATGAAGCATAAGAATTTAATAAAAACATGAGTTCAACTCTCTCATTTCTGTTGTTTGCCTTAGGAGGAAGGGGAAGGTAGAAGTGTTCGGGGAATAGGAAATAAAACACAAAATGCAACAGAATGATCTAGGAGATAAACTGCAGTGATAAATATGGACTAACATATACCCTAAACCACAAAAAGAAGAATTAAGAACTAATTGCCATACTTGCAGTGAACTTTTAAATATAGTTTCATAGTTTCTAGGGTCGGAAGGGACCTGAGCAGATCATCTAGTCCGACCCCCTGCCATGGCAGGAAAGAGTACTAGGGTCAAATGACCCCAGCAAGGTGTTCATCTAACCTCCTCTTAAAAACCCCCAAGGTAGGAGCCTGCACCACTTCTCTTGGAAGTTGGTTCCAGACCCTAGCCGCCCTGACCGTGAAGTCGCGCCTCCTGACGTCTAACCTAAACCTACCCTCTGCCAGCTTGTGACCGTTATTCCTGGTCACTCCTGGTGGTGCTCGGGGGAACAGGGACTCCCCCAATGCCTGCTGATCCCCCCTGACTAGTTTATAACAGGCCACAAGATCCCCCTCAGCCTTCTCTTTTGGAGGCTGAACAGGTTCAGGTCCCGTAGCCTCTCCTCATAGGGCCTGCTCTGCTGTCCCCTGATCA